GGGGGTGTTCTGAAAGATCATTGGTTGTTAATTTTTGACGATGTGTTCACATATCTCTGGAGAGGTATCTGTCCCTGATCAGTTTGTCATAAATGGTGTCACGTATTTCTTTATGATTGCAATAGGTCTCTCTCCCACAGTTCTACGCAGGATTTCCGTATTAAGTATTCCCTCTATAATGTTGTTACCGATGCGCCCCTTATATATGTGTGTTGCTCTGGAAAAAAAACCTTTGCATGGTGAACATTTTTTTAATAGACTTTGTAGATGTTGAAAATTACGACTGCTCTTTTCATTTTGCACTTTATTTGAGTGCAACTGAAGCATTCCATGAAAAGTTATAGCACTATAAACTGCAAAGGGCAGATTTTTGAGAAAACGGCTTTTAAAGTTTTGTTTACTTTGGCAACCAATGTCCCACGATGACAATGTGTAGAGGCAAATAATGCAGATACCATAGCATAGGGGACGTCACATACTTGTAGACTTCATTTTGGAGACAGTTTTCTTTATATTTTACTGAAATACCTCTCTCCTTGAGCGAAGTTATGCTACTCATTACAGTTTAGCGTCCATCTCCTAAAAGATGTAGCCATAGAGGAAATTCATGTAAAGTGACTTGCACAAGAACTCAACGTTGGGCCGAGCTGAGGCTCGAATCTCCAAACTCGCAATCTCACAATTGCGGGTCCAGTAGTCTAACCACCAGGCTACCGACGCCACTTTAATGATTCTGTCCAGTCAACACATTGATTACACAGTGGCGTCCAAAGGAAACTTGAAAACGTAGATTAATCACCCAATCATCGTGTTAAAGCCTTACACTACCCACTCATGCAGCGTAACCAATTCAAAGCTAAATAAAATATATTGTAAATCATCTGACATATTAATAATTCATCAGTGTTAAGAGACGTCCGAGATATTGTCACTCAAAATTATTCTTTAAAACTCAGGCATGACAAAATTGTGCTAAATATAAAAAAAGAAGTAAAATTGTCTTTGCGCGTGTATGGAGGAGCATCAATATTAATAGAATGGACGAACGTTGCATATCCAATAAATGGAGTCTTTTGCCTCTGCAACAAACAGTATTTCATAACGATAGTTTGAAACAAAACGGAAAAAGAGCATTGACAAATTAATACCATGCAAAACTAGGGCTTAGCATTAATTAATGTGCCCATTGTTATTTTGCTTTAGAGGCACTCGTTTTGTGTAGATCACGAGCCCTTTGGGCATCGACTCTGTTATATTTTGGACATACGTATCTGCCACTTCATCCAAATTGTAGCATAGAGCTGCAAACAAAGGGTCTGGATTGGGAGCAAAGTTACTTTTCTTTAGCTGCAGTTCCATGGGGCGTCACATACTAGTAGGCTTCATGTCGGACTATTTACTAGTGACCACACACAGTGTTGATATGATTTGGTTTTCCAAGAATTGTCTTGTGGTATTGGCCCTATGAAAAAGTGCTTTGCTAAGCATGGAGATGTGTACTTGAATGACACCTTGGCAAAAGTAAAGGTTAGAAACGTTCCAGCACTTGCCCGATGTAGTCCACAAAACCAAGCCTTCCGGTGATTTTCACGACTGTAGTTTTATTTTTTCCACCCCAAACCACCCAAAACCACGGCAGTTTCCTAGACTCTGTTCCTCACTGAAAGATGATTATGTCCAGAATCTAACTGACACTGCCCATTTGCAAAAAAGGTTTAGTGCTCTACATGAAACCAACAGCTCCTAAACAAAAACAAAATTATACTTATGAGCACATGTGATGTTACGTCCAGGACTTGCGTGTTATTTGCTACTGCTCTGTTTCCTAATCTGTTTGACAATATCATCAGAAGAATGAAGTTGATCAATGCAGAGACAATAATTTTTTCTTTGCCAGGCCTGATTTTTAAAGGTCAATTTTGAGTGGCCACATCTCGGTCGTTTCTTAACAAATGACTTATTATGGTGTCAGGTGATACAGGATTTATATAGCTTTAAATTGTATGCTGCATGATTGGGTAGAGCAAGGCTATAAAACTATGACTTGGAGATTACATTTTCCAGTTTCTTTTTGACGCCCCGGCATAATACGAACGCTGGAGACTTATACAACATAACCTCTTTGATCCAAATGTGGCACTGTTCGACTCAAATCATGAATTTTAAAAGTTCGCCAAAAACGAAACGGCAAAACCATAAATTAGCTTTCCTGTGTGGGAATCGAGCTCACCTCAGCGTGCGTCTCTATAAAGTGTTATCCATTTCACCTCAGACGCCCCCTCCCCCCCCTAAAAACCCCCCC